GGGACATGGGTTTGAATCCGACCATAGTAGAAGGTGAAATTTCAATTCCAATTTAAGTCTGGCATGATAATGACAGCTATTTAATTACAGTGAACTATTGTAAAGACTCAACTGGTTCATTAATGTCCTTTTAGGAAGGAAACATGCCACCCTTATCTGGTGCATGTATTCCAAGTCCTACAGCAATTTGGTTGATCCTTAACTGTCCTCAGAGCAAATTAGAGACAGGCATCATAGGCCATTAGTGATACTACCAGTTGAATATTTAGTGTACTTATGTAACATTCTTTCATCCTCTGTTTTAGAAAATGAATTAGCCTACTTATCTCCTCTTACCTTCTGTGAAATAATGGAATGAAAGAACGTCATAGAAACCCAATTAGACTCCATGAACATTAGCAACAGTCATTTCCAGACTAACATTTATTGAAAATGCTGTAATGGGTGAACATGCACAAATTAGTCTAGTAGTTAGAATCCACTGTATGGAACAACTTTCAAAGTCTGTGTTGTTGATCAAACTTTAGCATAGCTAAGCTGGAATTTCAATCATTCCCTTTGAAAGGTTCATTACAGTTACTACATCACACATGAGTTAGCAGGCCTCTTCATTACATTGAATATATATTTGATAGCTGATGATGAAACCCTGTTTAAATGTTCGTCTTATCATGGGCATTGCTTATATTTTGCAACTGTATCCTGTAAATCAGTAAATCTTGCTGCAAGTATCACTCCTGGCATTGAAGCCAATATCGCTACACTCTGCTGCTTCTTCCACATGTATTATACAAACAGCACATGATGTGGAGGCTAGCATGCCAGTAAGAATAGAGGATTGTCAGGCTGGTAGAAAACAGGGTATGCATAGCTGATTCTTTTTCTGATTGGCAGCATCTGAGAAATGGAGTCCAGTAGAGGTTTGTACTGGAGCCTCAACTTTTACAATTTATGTCACTGACTTAGATGAGGGGAGTGAAGGCAGTGGTGGCTAAAATTGAGGATGACTCAAAGATGGTTAGCAAAGAAAATTGTGAAGAGCATAGTCAGAGTTTGCAGGCTAATCGAGACAGTTTGAATGAATAGACAAAATTCTTGCAGGTGGACTATATTATGGGAAAATGTACAATTGTTCATTTAGGCAGGAAGAAGTATTAACTAAATAGAGAATGACTACAAAGCTCCAAGGTGCAAAGAGATCTAAGTGAATGAATGATTTATTTATTGTCACTTGCATTTTACCGTGAATAATACAGTAAAATACAGTGAAAAGCTTCACAGTTGCCACAATCGGGCACCATTTTGAATAGTTTAAGAGTAAAAAGCATAAAAGATGTAACTGAAGGAGAGTCCTGAGCCAGCTCACCAGCGACACCTGCACTGCCACCCCTCCTCCACTGCCTGCTGAAACCGCGCTCATGCCGCAACCGGGAGTCCAGGGCTCCACTGCTGCTTCGATGATGCCAGGAGTCCCAGCTCCAGGCATATCACACTTTCAGCCACCGCCTGGCCAACACCAGGAGTCTCTGCTCTGGGCCTACTGTAACCAGGAGCCCCTGGCTCCACTGCCAGACCAGGCCACCACTGTCATCTGACCAACACTCCCACTTCAGCTGCCCTCCTCCGAGATATTGCCTTGCCAGCACTGCCATCTTGAAAACTCCACTGCCACCTTCACCCCGAATGCCGGGAGGACATCCCTGCTGCCACTGCCACCACTGTCTCCAGTCACCGTGAGGAGCTGCATCCTCTGCTGGAAGGAGCCACCATTCCGTGCATACCCCGGTCTAGCTGCTATGCCAATTTTGCTGACTAACCCACTGCAAAAGGCTCCATAGAAAAGAAAACTTAAAAAATGAAATAAAAAGAGCATAAGTAAAAAGAAAGAAAAAAGAAAGAAAGCATGCGGGAGTGGATGAACCCCAAGCAAGAACCTTCAGACAGCCCTGCTACTCTGACACCATCTTCGATTGGAAGTGTTCTTGTGCAGCCTCCTGAGCTCAAGGTAGAATAATTCGAGTTAGCTGCCCTTACGCTTATACATTCCAGTCCAGGCAACATCCTGCAAACTTCATTTGCACCCTCTCCAAAGCCTCCATCTCCTTCCTATAGTGTGGTGACCAGAAGTGCACACAATACTCCAAACATGACATAACTAAAGTTTTACACAACTGCAACATGACTTGCCAACTTTTATATTCAATGCCCTGACCAATGAAGGCAAGCATACCATACACCTTCTTTACCATCTTACCCACTTGTGTTAGCACTTTCACAGAGCTATGGATTTATATCAGAAGATCTCTCCATCTATGAACTTTCCTGAGCATCCTGATATTTAAAGTATACTTTCCACTTGCATTTGACCTCTCAAAATATGAGCATGAGCAAAATGTGAGCATCCACCTCATACTTGTCTGGATTAAACTCAATTTTTCATTTCTCTGCCCAACTTTCCGACTGATCTATGTCCAGCTGTGTCCTTTGACAACCTTCTTCACTATCCACAACACCAATTTTCATGTTGTCTGCCAACTTTCTAATCAGACCACCTACTTTTCCATTCAGATCATTTATATATATACATTACAAGAAACAGAGGTTCCAGCAATGGTCACAGATCTCCAGTCAGAAAAACACCCCTCCACAACTGCCGTCTGTCTTCTATAACCAAGCCAATTTTGTTCCAACTTACCAACTCACTGTGGATCACATGTGACCTAATCTTCTGGAGCAGCCTACCATGAGGAACCTTGTCAAATTCTTTAGCAAAGTCCGAGTAGACACCATCCACTGCCCTACCATCATTTCCTCAAAAAACACAATCCAATTTGTGAGCCAAGACCTCCCTCCCCTGCACAAAACCATGCTAACTATCCCTAACATGGCCAATCTTCTTTAAGTGCAAGAAATCCTGTCCCTAAGAATCTTCTCCAATAATTTTCCTACTGCTGATATACTGGGCTGTAATCTCCTAGATTATCCCTCTTGACCTTCATAGACAAATGAACAACATTGGCCAAATTCCAGTGTTCTGGGACCTCACTGTGGCAAAAGAGGATACAAGATCTCTGACCAAGCCCTAGTTATCTCCCCCCTTGATTTCCTTAGTATCCTGGGATAGATCCCATCATACCCTGGGGAGTTATCCACCTTAATGTTTTTCAAGACTTGACAAAGGTGACTTGATTAAAATGCAAGATCCTGAAGTCTTGACATGGTGGATGTGGAAAGGATGTTTCCTCTAGGAGTGAGTCCAGAACTAGTTGGCACTGTCTGTTTTAAAATTAGGGGTTGTCTTTTGAGTCCAGAGATGAAGAGAAACTCTTTTCTCTCAATGATTTATGAGACTTTGGAACTCTGCCTCAGAAGGCAGTGGAAGCAGGGTCATTGAATGTTGTTAATGCAGAGATAGATTGTTTCTATTGCCTAAGGTCATTACAAGCTAAGGTCATCAGAAGTGTAAGAGAATGTGGAATTCAAAGTGCATAAAAGATCACACATGGCCTTATTGAATAGAGAAGGCTTGAGCATCTGAATGATCTACTTCTTCTTTTAATCTGTAAATTTGTACCATCAAGAGAGTGCACAGCAGAAAATCATCCAGCTTACTTCAATGGTATGTGCCAGCCTTAGGACAGTAGGACTTGTGATTTTCTATTTTAGCCTCATTGTTATGGAATACATCACCATTTCCATATAGGTGACTTATTTTGAAAATGGATTCATCGATGGAACTTTGTACCTTTTAAACCATTCAGTTGAAAAGCAGTAGGTTGACATTAATCACTTTCATTTAAATTGTAGAATAATGAACCATTGTTTGGTTAGCACATTTTTAATGTCCATTACACATAAGCCAATTAACAGATTTAAGTACTGATTTGTTGACTATATTAATACACAACACATTCAAAGTGCAATATTGCAATATTCCTGCTTTTAAATTTACAGCTCACAACAATGAAATTTGTTTGGGATTATTGTGTATGTTGGAATATTGAACAGCATGATTAAACTTAACAATAATGTTATAAACAGTTTCACCTTATATAATTTTATATCTTTGACAGCTTTTTCAATGACCATTGATTTTGATCATTGTAAATATATTATATCATTGATATATATATATATGAAACATATAATCATAGCACAAAAATGCAAATGTGCAAATTTGGAGAATTGAACTTGAAGGAGATAAAAAGAAATTATAGCAGCCATCTAAATGTATTAAAGCTTATGAAACAATATAAAAATACAAATCTTAAATAAGATTTACCACAAGATTCTCCTGTTATTGCAACAATACAAATGTATTAATATATATCAATATTTCCTGTTTTTAATGAGAAGCAATTTAAAATGAGGAGGAAGAAAGGAATGACATAATACAATATTGATATAATATATCTACTTGATCAAACAAATACATGAAAAATAATATTTCAGTTTTTAACAGCAGTTCACAGACATGGGCTAAGTCTGGAAATTCCACAAAGGTGGCAATCACCTGAGATTATGTGGGGGTTCAGGAAATAATAGTCCTTAATTACAGATCACAATTCAGCAATTGGCCAGTGGTTATGTACAGTTAAACATTAAAGGGGTTTCTTTTAGAAGTGTTGCTGTTCCTGAACTTCTTACATGCCTTCCATAAAACTTTTTAAAAACACATGCACCTCCTCCAGTCTATCATCACAAAGTAAAGTCACTTCGAATTTGCCATAGCGTGTTTTTTTTTCATTTTAATTAGACTCAATCGTACAATGTATAAAAACACAGTATTGTAAAGAAAATATTTTTACTGAAGATGATATATCTTTGCAGGTAATCTGGGCAGCCTTAGCATGCAGAAAGTACCATGATAACTAGTCTGAATTTTTTGCTGGAAAAAGCAAGTTGTTCTTGTGTGGGTATCATTTGTCGATCTGTTTGATTTCTAACGTTTCAAAAGCAAAATATTAAATGCTTAAGAATTCATTCCCAGTGTTTTTTTAAATATTCCTTAGCACTCAACATTGTTCCCCAAATTGTTGAACATAACAGCTCTTGCTGCTGTGGGAAAGATTGCATCAACTTATTAATACTTGAACTCTCTGTTTTTTCCAACAGTGCTGATTTGATCATAAAATACAATGAATGACAGGGTGACTTCTGATAGAGAAACTTAAATCATCAAAGACAATTTAGAGATTTCCCAAAAAAATGAAAATTACCTCCTCACTTCTGCAACTTAGATAATTTTGCAAAATTCTGCCAAGGAAATGAATTTACCGTTATATTGTGTTGGTTGTTTGACCTACTGCAGTAAGGAAGATGCACAGTTTGAGATGTCAACAATTATTTTGGAACCAATATTTAGTTTTAGCCTTCCTGATTGTATTTATTTAAATATTCATATTCAAAATAAGCTTTGTTGTGTGGCCAACTGTAGTGCCGTGCAGGATGGAGATAACAATGTACAAGATTTACTTACATGGTGAGGATATTTCTTCTAGATGTTGTTATTTTAATTTTCAGCAATCTCATCAGTATGACATACAATTGGTCCAATCTCAGACAGTTAGTTGTAAAGGATTGGAACACTAACAGCTAGGAAACACTTTACAATTGCTATGATGAAATCTACTGACAACCCAAAGGTTCATCTGCAGCTAACATTTAAATCCATATCCAGTCCAGTTTTCTCAGAACCAAATCAATATGTATTAGAATCCATTAATTTCAAAAGATATTGTCTTTTCAGAGACGATGGAGGAAGTGGTTAAACTGGTACACCAATGGTAGTAATCTGTACATCTACTGTTTCCTAAAAAGAGTGTTTATTTTGTTTTATTGAATGGATTATACCCAAAGTAAATATGAAAATGTTTAATGGGAAAAGATGACTTATGCACTTTAGGTAGTTATCTGCATAACATACCTTTGTATTCAAGCATTCCCTGGAACAAAAACTTTCCAATGTTCTATTTTAAGATGAATTCAAACTCAGCACCCTTCTCCAGTACATTTTTATTCCATCATTAGTGTTATCAGTTTATTTTTTTCCCTCTAAAGGCTTTGCTTATTGCTGGAGTATGAATTCATAGGGAAATGGCCTTACAGTACTTCACCCAAGTGGTAATTTGTATGAGAGGGTCCTTTCAATTGAGGCTTTTTTTACCAATGGAGGGCATTATAGACCAACCGCATTTTCTTGTCTCCCAATATCCATACACATTAGTGCTTCAGCAAGTCAGTAGATAGTGATCAGGAGGTAAAGCACTAATTTATTGTTTTTCCCTTTCCCCAGCCCAGCCATACAGAGACTAATGCTCACACCTCTTCTTTAGCAATCATCACAGAGCAAGATATGCAACTTGGATCAGTCATCTTCCACAAAGATCAGTTTTACACTAGATTCTGCCTTAATCAAATGTTAAAACTGGAAGATCTTAGTAAAGAACAAAGTAAGGTCTTAGTAAATGTTGTGGATCAGATGGTGGCATCAGATATATAGCAATTGACTCTGTAAGATACTTTACGTCAGTATAAATGTTACATTCATGTGCTGTTCTGATTTAGTGGTAGTGTCTCTGCTTCAGAGCCAAGAAACTTGGGTTTAAGTCCCACCTGCTCCAGAAGTGTGAACAAGTTGATTTTTAAAAATCGATAACTGAGTCTACCTGGAGAAGCATTGAAATCTATTTTTAAAATCTTGATTAAAAAATGAAGGCCTATATCATAAACTCTCAATGAATGCCTATTTACAGAAAGGGTGAAAAGCAGTTATGATTTTGGCTAAGTGCAATGGTGTCGCCGCTTAAAATGTTGCAAACAAACTAAGGGTCAGATGGGAACATTGAATTAATTGCGCTTAAATTCTCTGCTTGGCCTTAAATCGACGATTCAATGTGCGCAAACTGTGAAACAATCTCGCCTTTCACTTGAGACTGGCCAAATGACACAACCTACAGTCTTTGCCAAGGTTAGTTCCCTTTCATTTCCGACTGCCTGTCCTGAACATTGAGAAACTTTGGTCGCAATGTTGTGTCTCACTGCGCGTGGGCGAGCCCGTCTGTCACTGCAACAAACCCACACACTATATGCACATGATTTAGGCTAACTTGTCACATCTCTAGGGAACGAGGAATAATGCATTCTGCTTTAAAATGATAACACTGGACATGTGAATAAATATGAAGACTACTTTTGTTTCCAGTGGCAAAACAAGAACAGAGAATTGGATGACAGTAAAGTGGCGGTGCAATATTTCTTAGGTCTGTTCACATATCTCCAATCCCAGATAATCTATTAATTTCGAAGTAAATCCTGTTTGTACATGAAACGCGACGGAGTTGGTCATAATAAGGTACTTCCATCGGGGTTAGTTTCTGTCACTGGTTCCTCCCCGTTTGACAGTTTGCAGATTGAGAAGGAAACGTGGGGTTAGGATGGAGGAGGGACGTAGGGGATGGTTTCTGTCAAAGTTCCGATACAGGACAACTCTTTGCCAGGAAATGAGGATTGAGAACCATTATGTCAAATCATCAGAAGATTGAAAATCCGCAAGTGGCAGGGCGGACACTACTGAAATGGTGGTGCCTGGAGTCGGCGTGTTTGCAACGAGCTCAAAGGTTTTAGTTTTGTTCTCGCAGTGAATTAGTGTCGGATTTGCGGTGACTGATACGTCAGCAAACCTTCAATACTGCCAACTCCTTCTCTGCACCTAAAGCAACTTCAGGGACTGTTCATTGTATTAAGGTCTGACTGAGGAAAACAAGACTTCAGAATCAAGTGTGGCCAAATGCAAACTATTACCCTTCAAAACAAAACGTGTTTTATTTCGAAGGGTGCCAACTATAAGGCTGGAAGGATGTGGGAGCAGACGTCTGATCCATCGAGTCGGCTCCTAGCGATTCTAGCTGTGTTAAATCTATATCACTTTGCTCACTAGCACTGTCAAGGTTGGACCTATCTTTACAAAACGCAGTTTATAAAGAGAACCCCTCACTTCCCGCTGCCCAAAGAGTGCGAATGCAAGTACACACGAAGACATGCTTCACCCCAGGAACCTTTTCCGGTCTGGTTACCTTTGCTCCCATTATTACCATACAACAATTGTTCACAGCATAACTCGAGTGGGTTAAAGACAACAGCAGAAAGTTTCGACCAGCGCAACCACGTGAAATGTAACCCCATAGTATTCCCGCTCTGAATCGGCAAGAGCCGGATAATATCCCATAAGTTATTGATTGTTGTCGGCCTGTTGGATTCTCCGCACTGCCTCATTCAAAGGCTCCATTGTGTCACGCAGAGTCACGCCGATGGTGAAAGGTTTGGGTTTTAAGGATAAGCCGTAGGTGAAGTCCAGAGTGAGCTCCTCTTTGGGGTTGGCCCTGAAGGTGCACTGGTGCATCAGGAGGGAGGTGCTGAGGAAGAGCTGCATTTTGGCCAGCTCGTCCCCGATGCACCTCCTTCTGCCCAGCGAGAAGATCATCACTTGGCTGGCCAGGTCCTTATTGAAGGTGCCCGCCTCGGTGAGGAACCTGCAAGGGTCAAAGACTTCGGGCTGATGCCACTTGTGTGGGTCATGGTTAACTGACCACTGGTTGATGAAGACCACGGTGCCCTTGTCGATGCGGTAACCCGAGAGCAGCGTTGGTCGGGTGGTGGCGTGCGGGATGGTGAGAGACACGAAGCTGCTGAAGCGCAGGGTCTCGTACAGGAACGCCATCAGGTAGGGCATGCGGGGCTGGTCCTCGATGCTGGGGATACGCTGCCTGCCCACCACACGGTCTAGCTCCTCGTGGATCTTGGCCTGGACCTGGGGCTGCCACACCAGGTATAGGGTGATCCAGTGCAGGGCGGTGGATAGCGTGTCCTGACTGGCCCCGAAGATATCCGTGACGGTTGAATCCGCGTAGTCGGGGCTGAGGATCAGGCCGGTGTCGCTGGCTACACGGCCGTGCTCGATGGTGTGGATGAAGGCGTCCATCATATCCCGGACCCGGCCTGGGCGGAAATCTAGGCGGTGTTGCCGAGCCTTGTCCTGGACAAACAGGTAGAAGTCCCGGTTGAGCTGCTCGAAGTCCTGGTAGATGCTGCGTACCGGGTTGGGGAAGTACTGGAGCCAGGGTATGATGTCGACCAGGCTGCCGGCTCCCACTGTCTGGCCGAAGCGGTCGTTCTTGGCGAGTAACGAGGTGAACTCCTGGTCATCGTGGCTGTACCTCTTGCCGAAGCACACTGCACTCATCACATTGGCCACGGCCACCACCAGGTTGGGCCACGGGTCAAAGTAATGGCCGAGGGGGCCCCTGTCCATGAACACACTGATCAGCTGCTGCATCTCGCACACCACATGTTGCTCAAATACTTTCTTGGTCTCCAGGTTGCTGGTGGAGAAAGCCCTCACCGTGGAGTGAGCGACCTTACGGTGCAGCCGCCACAAGTCGCCGTGGCTGCGGAAAGCCAGGCTCCGGCCCCCGGACACCACAGCGAACGAGCTGAAGTCCGGTCTGCCCGAGAAATCGGCGCCTTGTCTCACCAGCGCCTGGCGGATCGACTCCTCGCCGTTCAGCACCACCACGGTGTGGCTGCCCAGCTTCAGGCGGAACACGCTGCCGTACTTCTCGGCCATTCTGCAGAAGCTGAGGTGGGGCACCTGGCCGATCTGAGCCGCGTTGCCGATCAGGGGCCAGGGGAAAGGGCCGGGCGGACCCTTGGGGTCGCTGTGTTGCAACCACTTCCAGGCGTGCAGCCCGAGCAGGGCAAACAAAGTGACAGCCAGCATCCACTGCGGGCTGGGGCTACCCGACAGCCCGCGGTCGGAAGCGTACGTTTCATTGGCGATCATTGCTTCACCGTCCTGGTTCCTGAAACAGCGCAGTAATTCCTCTGTCTATCGCACAGAAAAAAAAAGTTTATCCCCTGAAATAATGAAGATGCTTTAACAGGGGAGGAGCACGGTGTGTTTCAGATGCATTTAAATAGATCCTTTACAGTATCCGAGAAAGTCCAGTCAGGAGAGCGGCTCCCGCACTATAATCATCGAAGCTCGGTCACTTGGTTCGGACCGAGAGAGCGAAGAATACTGATCCCCCGGCAAAGCAAAACTCTCAAGAAAACCGGCGCTAATTCACCGTGAGCGCCGACTCGGCTTCTCCGGGGTTTCTGTCACCTAACTCATACATATATATATTATATATATAAACAGGGAGAGTGACGGGGTGGGGGGCTTCTGTCCTACCGTCACATGGCAGCGGGCGAACTCTGTGAAGGGTTACTGTGAATTGCACCAGAAAGGGCACTTTAGTCCCTGTGCTAGTTCTGTCTGAAACAACTTCGTTGCCTTTAGATCACCATCCAACTGGCGTTCGCATTTTATAGGAGAGAGTACATTCACGAGGGTGGGGTGGTGGGATCCTCCTCTGCAGCAGCTCACTGGTACTAACTCCACTTTCCGAGTCCGCCCGCTGCTGCCTCACACTTGCGTGTGGAGCAAGAGCAGTGCGTGATGCGACGTGGGGCTATTTAAATGTAATCGAAATGTAATCTCTCCCCGAACAATGTGATAACCTGACACCAGCAGTGAATTGTTAATGGGCAAGATCTGAGACCGCTTCCGTCTGTAATCTCCCGCCCTCCTTTTACACCGCCTATTTGCTTATCGTTTTAAGTGTACATGCAAGGTCTAACCACAATGTTTATCTCCGAGTAGCGATTTAGACGGAAGTGGAGATTTAATGCCGAGCAACCTTAAACCTCGTCTTTTCATTTATTTCTTTCTTCGACCATTTAGGACTAAAACAGAAAACACTGCGCACACCCAGAGGGTCAATTAGTGTCCGGGTTGGGGGAAAACACAGGGTGAATGTTTCAGCTCAATGACCTTTCGCCAGAACAACAGCATTTGCTGCTTTTATTTCAGTTTTCCGACATTTGTGTTCGCTTCCTGCTTCAGTATAAAGGTTTTGTGAGAATCTCTCATTGTTGTACTTTTTATGGGGACGGTGGGTGGGGATTGTGGAGAGGACTGTGGAGCAGGGATTTAAATAAACGGGAATGCAATAAACAAGAACGCGGTGTATTAAGGAAACAGGTGAAATGCTGGAAAGAACTCCAACCGCTCCTCGGCTCGCTGTTACTGTTCATTGGGACCTTACTTCTCTCGATGGGAGATTGGTCAAAACGTTTCCTTTTCTCACTGGGTTAGTGGCATTAGAACATCTCCCTCTCTGAGGCCAGGTTAGCATCCGGATGACCTATCATTTCCAATCGATCCTTGTGGTTCGACACATGGTTTCAATGTCAACATTTCCGCCCCCTCCCCTCCCCACCCCACCCTACCATCTCTTCTACGTCCCCCATTCACTCGCAGCATTGCCCCACACTCGTCAGGACGTAGTGCGCTGAGGTAAATGCAATAGATAAACCAAGGATTTAAACGTGGAGTAGGAAGCAGCCTGGTAAGATTCAGATCTCCAGCATCTGCAGTTTTTGTTTTATTATAACCTTGTAAGTGGTTGGATTTTAGTTATAGGAGAACAGATGAGAAAACATATCACTAATGGTCAATTAATAATGATTATGCTTTTGAACAGAAGTGTATGTGTATACACAACAGTGTGTGTATGTGGACGCATGTATACATGACTACAGGGAATGTGTGTTTATATGTGTGCGTGCCAGCATCAGTAAAGCAGATGATCTGGTCATTATTACATTGTTGTTAGTCATAATTGGCGGTGGCTCGCAGACTCCTTGACTCTCTTCCAAACTAGGTGAGTCAAAAGGCAGTTGTACAGTCCGATGTGGCTTCGGAGACTCTGCCACACTTGAGGCAGAATGTGTTCATGGGAAGGAGTGGGTGAGGTATAATGCATTCCTTATGCCTTATGCTTGCACTTTTTCCCGACAGCAAGTTTCCAGGTGCTGGATGCCTTCCCAGATGCTCCTCCTCCACTTTGGACAGTCTTGGGCCAGTGATTCCCATCTGCGGGAATGCGGCACTTTGCCAGTGAGGTCTTGAGGGTATCACTAAAGCACTTCCACAGTCCACCTGGGGCTGGCCTGCTGTTTCAGAGCTGAGTAGAGCACCTGCTTGAGGGTGTGGGGGTCTCTTGAGTTGCCCAGTCCAACACAAATAATAGAGGGTGGTCGATCGATGCTGGGGATGTTAGCCTGGTCAAGGACGCAGGCGTTGGTGCGTCTGTCATCCCAGCGGATTCAGACGATCTTGAGCAGGCAGCATTGGTAGTACTCCAGCGGTTTGAGGTGTCTGCTGTTCAAGTCTCAGAGTCTTTTAGGAGGGCAGGAACCACCACAGCTCTGTCAACCGGTTGATTGTGGGACCTTCCTGTATCACTTTCCCTGCATTGCCGCAGTGATCATACTTCCTTCATTGCACTTCCAAACTAAAAGCTGTGGACATCTGACTTTCTGACTGGCACTAATTATCCCCGCAAAGGAGGTGATGGCCTAGTGGTATTATTGCTGAGGCCCAGACAATGTCCTGGGGACCTGAGTTCGAATCCTGCCATGGTCGAGGGTGGAATTTGAATTCAATAAATTTCTGGTATTAAGAGTTTGATGGTGACCATGAAACTATTGCTGATTATCAGGAAAAACCTATCTGATTCATTAATGTCCTTTAGCGAAGGAAACTACCACCCTGACCTGGTCTGGCCTACATGTGACTCCAGACCCACAGCAATGTGGTTGACTCTTAACTGCCCTCTGGGTAATTAGGGATGGATAATAAATGCCTGTCTAGCCAAGAATGCCCTCATCCAGGAAATGAATTTTAAAAAGACCCTCTTTTCTCTTGTACATGACTGCATGCGTTTGGGAAAGCATTCTGAACCACGGCGCAATAACCAAGCCATTCCTATTTTTAATGTCGGAGCAAATGTTTCTGCCTCTGACAGAATAAGTACTCAGCAGGTCAGACAGCATATGTGGAGAGAAAACAAGCGCAAGGTTGCAGGTCCGTGACCTTTCACGTAGAAATGGGGAATACCTTGGAATAAAAATGAGACAATTCTGTCGCTCAAAGGCGCACAACTGTTAGAGAATTCGCACCACCGGAATGAAGCAGACCTCCCAAAGCGAATTTGAAATCTGTTGCATTCTGTGAAACGACTGTGAAGGAAGGTGGTGCCTATAACTGCAAACACTTTATTTCATCCTTACCAGGAGTGAGGAAACTTTGCACTGAGTTCAGATACATGTTCAGCCTGACGTGAGATGTTATCTAACACGCATTTCTGATGTGAAGGTGGTTGAAGAAAACGTCAAACAAATATGAAGATTAGACTGAATCTCTCCAAGTCCTGGCGGTTGATCTGAATCTTGCGGTATTTCTGTCACTGAATTTAATTTCCAAAAAATTCCACTATGTTTCATTGTAGTGTTGTTACATTGGATAGAACTTCAGGTATTTACACACACACACGGTTCTGAGGAAGGGTCACCGGACCCGAAACGTTAACTCTGTTTTTTCCTTCACAGATGCTGCCAGACCTGCTGAGCTTTTCCAGCAACTTTGTTTTTGTTCCTGATTTACAGCATCCGCAGTTCTTTCGGGTTTTTTCAGGTATTTACAATTCGTTCGACGTTTAATACCCTTCCAATTTCACGAGCACTATTTATGGATTTTGTTTTTAACAACAAGGATGAACTAGAATCTAATGGACGATAAGTAACTCACCGATTGAGATAGAAGTATCAGAAAATACAAATCCAAATCAAACTGTGAATTTAGACGTCACCGTGAAGGAGGTAAAAGATTTGACGCTGATTCAGGTTTCGGGCTAATAAAACAATGTATAAAAGATAAAACAGCACATGCACACTTCGATAGATATCTGCATAAAAATTTATAGTTTGACAATATACACATATTTATATAAATTAAATACATATGCAGTCTATTAAAATTTGTACTTATTGCTACAGAAACAGGCAATTTCTTTATAATATATAGGTGATTAAAGGTTCATTTCATAGCTGCCATATCTAGAATGGAGAGAGATCCACAATGTGGCGTTAGTATGTTGGAAATTACGTCGTTACCGTAATTCATTCACGGGATGAAAAAATACGTTAAGTAGGCAGTACAAACAACACGGATTAACTTCGGTGTAGCTATATAGACAGACAAACCACAATGACTATAAGTTACAATGTTGGTTGAAAGATAAGTGTGTGTGTAAAAACATTGACTGTTTATATTACATATATAAGCAGCAAAGGCTGTCCGAAAGCGAAACACATCAAACCGAATAACCACGTGGTAACGTAATGTAGGACTGGTGTATCCAACAATAAACTCTAACCTCGCATACATTGTTTTCCTTTAAGGGTTTGTTGGACAGTTTCATCGCTTGAAGATTCGTTTTGATATTATCGCCTTTGTTTATACAGCTGACTATTGTAGCTGTCTGTAATGTGTAAGAAATCTGTGTGTACAGTTGACGCCAATTGTTTTTAATAGTAAGAACTGAAAACGGCAATTGTTCAAATAGATCTGATTCACGTTTATCGAAAGAAAAATTAATTTGAAAAAAAAACACCCTGATTGGATTCTTGTGAACTTCAAAAACCTTAATGCCATTTTTGAACAACGGATTATGCAGTCAGTGCGCCAGAATTCTGCCACGTGTCTCCCACTCTGGCCATATTTACGTACAAGTTGTATTTTGGTCAGAGATAGTAGGAACTGCAGATGCTGGAGAATCTGAGATAACAAGGTGTAGAGCTGGATGAACACAGCAGGCCAAGCAGCATGAAAGCTGAAGGGTCTAAGCCTGAAACGTCAGCCTTCCTGCTCCTCTGATGCTGCTTGGCCTGCTGTGTTCATCCAGTTCTACACCTTGTTATCTTGTATTTTGGGCTGTCGTCCACCATCATCATAAGATTAAACTGGTTGAAGCATGGATCATTCAATCGGAAAAATTCACCAAATAGATTTAGATTTTAAGTAAAAACACAAAAAAGAACTCGGGAAAAGTTACCCTCCTCCCTCCGGAAAGACCTCAGTGGATCTCTCTCCCACTGCAACTCTCTCATCTTTGACCTGTCTGTCTCCTCTCCACCTATCTTCTCCTTTATCCATCTTCAATCCACCTCCCCCTCTCTCCCTATTTATTTCAGGACCCCCTTCCCCTCTCCCATTTCTGAAGAAGGGTCTAGGTCCGAAACGTCAGCTTTCCTGCTCCTCTGATGCTGCTTGGCCTGCTGTGTTCATCCAGCTCTACATCTTGTTAAGCTGAAGCCATGGGTACCCG